GTTTGTTGTACGTATAAGATCCTACAGCATCTGTTGGTTTGTGTTTCAGGTGTATCTGCTGCTGAACAAGATGAAGTGAAGAGAAAATCAGTAAATGAGGGAGAATGTGTCACTTTTGATCCTGCCACGGCAATAAAACTAAATTATTTGATGATATGGTATTATAATGAATCTCTCATCGCTCTCGTCAGTGGAGATCTCAGTAAGATCTGTACAGATGTTCAGTGTAAAGAGAGATTCAGAGACAGACTGAAGCTGGATCATCAGACTGGATCTCTGACCATCATGAACACCACAAACACACACTCTGGAGAATATAAACTAGTGATAATCGTCTTCAACAGCAGCTTCAGCATCACTAGAGTGAAGAGATTCAATCTTACCGTCATTGGTGGTGAGTGTATAATTCAGCCAATAAATGCATTTTCCTTTGAGGATTTTTTTAAAAACAGTCCAATATTATTAAAATCAACTCAAAATGTGTTTTGTTTTGGGCTGCTAAAAAGCAAACTTTGTTATTAACATATGAAAACTGCATAATATTAGGCCCCGTCCACACTACTGTGTTTTCGTTTAAAAACGGAGACCTTTTGCTACGTTTGCACCTCCCGTCCACACTAAAACGGGAAAAACGAAGACCTAAAATGGAGAAGTTTAGAAACGCTGCAGCTGCGTTTTGCGTTTTCAAACTCCGGAGGGCGTTTTAGTGTGGACGAAACAAAACGGAGGAGTTTACAAACGATGACGCAGAGGCTCACGCTCGGCTCTATGATTGGGTGTCATCAGTCATGACGTATCTTTCCCTGATTCGCCAACCACTGTTTACACCGGCGCGCGCATGCCCAGTGTTGGTGAATGGTCACGTGATCCACGTTTTCAGTCGTTTTAGTGTGGACGGAGATAAATTCTACAACGCAGGTAAAACGTTAGCGTGGACAGAGATCGTATTTGTTTTAATTCTCCGTTTTTAAACGAAAACGCAGTAGTGTGGATGGGGCCTGAGGCTGTTTTATCTGCTGTGGTTATAAAACCACATTTAAAGGGTAACTAAATCCTAAAACAACTTTTTTTAGTTAAAGGAACACTCCGACTTTTTGGGACTTTAGCCTATTCACCTTACCCCCCAGAGTTAGATAAGTCCATACATACCTTTTTCATCTCCGTGCGTGCTATAAGTCTGTTTGACGCACCCACCGCTAGCCTAGCTTAGCACAAAGACTGGATGTGAATGGTTGCAGCTTTCATACTAATCCAAATGAGTGACAAAATAACGCAAACGTTTTCCTATTTACATGTTGTGGTTTGTATAGTCACAGAGTGTGCAAATATCAAGGCCATATGAGACACTTATGGTTACGTTTTTCTGGCTTATATATCTCAAATGTCAATGCAGAAATTGTATTGAATTTACTTCCGGCACCAGCTGTGGGCGGGACTGTGATGCTCAATTGTAGAGTGTGACAGCAGCTGTCACTCACTGCGGGTCTCAGGTGCACGCCCCCCGTTCAGCCCCGCCCTCGGCTCGTCCCTTCTATCTCCGCTGGGGTCTGCCCATTTTTTCAGCATTTTTCAAATATTACCAGTGGGTGAAGTCAGGCTCTGACCAGGGGTTTAGTTACCCTTTAATCAATATCACATGACTGATGACCAAAGTGGTGTAAATATCAGTCAGAAATATTAGCAAACACTGGATGGATATTCATTCACTCTCTTGTAATAATTTCTGTCTGTCTTTATCTGTTCCAAATTCAGGGTTGTCTTCAAGAGCTATAGCAGGAATATTTCTTTTTATCCTGGTTTCTGCTGCTGTGATTTACTATCGTTGCTGCAAGAGCCATGCACGAGCACCACATAATGTAAGTATTACAACGTTTGTTCTTTTATTTATTTATATAGCACCTTACAGACTACCAACGCAGTTCCAAAGTGCTGTACATTGCAGTAAAAACCTACAGAACAAGAAGACAAAACATAAAAAATGTGCTAATGTACTAAAATGCCAGAGAGTGGATAAGATTGTAACCGGTCCTTAAAAACATTTAGATTCAAGAAATATCTAACATCCAATGGCAGATAATTCCACAATCTAGGACCAGCGACAGAGAAAGCACGATCACCTTTCATTTTGAGATGCGCACGGGGAATAGTTAGAAAAAACTTGTTTGCTGATCTAGTCTTATGCCTGAACTGTAGAGCTTAATACACTCAGATAAGTATTCTGGCGCCATTCCGTGGAGTGCTTTGAAAACATATATATCATAATCTTATACTGTCTCCTTAAATGTATAGGTAGCCAACCTAAACAAGATAAAAAGAAAGTAACATGATCTGTTTTCCCAGCATGCATTTATCAACAACCTTGCAGTAGCATTTTGTACTTGCTGCAAGCGGGCAATGTGTGTTTGACAGGTCCCAACATAAAGTGCACTACAGTAATCTACACGAGAGAAAATTTAACATAGCGTGGACAACTTTTTCCAAGGCGCTGGCGGAAAGAATTGGTTTCAATTTGGCTATTGCTCTTAAAGGGGTGATGAACTGAGAAATCAAATTTTCTTTGAGCTTTTGACATCTAAGAGGTCATCATATTATAAGAATATCCTGTAAGTTTCAGAACTGCAAATGTCCTTGTTAGTCCAATAAAAGCTTTTATTGACACCAGCCTCTGCAAACGACTCGTTTTTCAAAGTGGGGAACTATGACGTCAAAGAGGATAAAACCCTACCTCCGCAGAAGAAGATCTATGCCTACTTCAACACGGCCGGTTTAGCCCCGCCCACCGATTTGCGTATTACACACTTAGCTAAATAACATAGATGCCTACCTCGTGATGACAAACCGGATCGAGCTACCGAGCAACAAATATGCACTGACGAGTGAAACTCATTAAAAAATGAAACACTGTTATCCAGTCATAGCAGTGGGCGTTTACTTCCAAGTCTTCAATGCGAGACGCCCATAAAAACAGGAGCTTTTGGAGCTGGGCTCAAAACTAGGGTAGAAAATAGCCTATACTTATTCATTCATTCAGTTTTTTTAATGTAAAAGTCAAGCGGACGTCATAAGTTGACCTCAGACAACAATATAATAAAATGTAAAAAGCCAGTTCATGAACCCTTTAAATAGAAGAAGCAATTTCGGACCACTGTCGTCATATGTCGATCAAAAATAATAGATACATCAACAATAACTCCCATGTTCTTTATTTGATCCTCAGGTTCCCCTTGCTTGGGCCTAAGTGATCGATTAACATTTGGCTATCAACTGTGCGACCAAAAAGAATAATTTCAGTGTTGTTTTTATTCAATTCAACTAGATTTTCAGCCATCTACAGCTTTACTTCCTCCGGACACCCAAAGAGAATGGCATTGGAATCCTTACTATTGGATCTCAACGGCAAATAGACTTGAGTGTCATTTGCATAAAGAAGGTAAGAAATAGCATACTTCTTAAAAATCATATCCAACGGGAGCATATACAATGAAAACAGGATGGGACCCAATATGGACCCTTGTGGGACCCCACAGGAAATAGGTGATGGAGCAGAGTAGTTGTTGCCAGTCTTCACTTAAAAGGAACTAAATCCCAAATAAGAGACAAACCATTTTAGGACCGTCCCGTGAATACCAACAAACTGCTTTAGAAGGATCCAGTGATCAGTGGTGTCAAAGACTGCTGACAAATCCAAAAATATTAATTCTGCATGATTACCTGCATCCATAATTAAAAAAAAAAAAAAAAAGATAATTAACGCATGACTCTTTACTGTGTCCACCCCTAAAGCCAGACTGAAATTTATCCAAAATACAACTCTACAGAAGCAGATATTCACCAGTGAGGCAGTCAAAACAGTCAAAAACACTAATAACTCCCAGATAACATAAAGTACACATTTTCAGAGAGCAAGTGTCATATTAGAACACACACTAATGCTTCAACAACAGTTGAAGCAATTTAGATGTGAATATTGAAATCATAAAACTTCACTTTTGTATTACTGAGGTGAGGAGATGACAGTTTGAAGACAGTGCTTAATATTTAGGAAATGAGAAATTCGGTACACAAAAAACAATTCCAAGTCTGTAGTATTTTCGTGTTTGTTTATCTGAAACAAATCCGTCTCATCATGTTTAACCTTCTGTGAATGTGTGTTTTCTTAAAGGAGCGTGATGCTGGTAACCCACCAAATGATCATTCCTTAAATCAGACTCATGCCGAGGCTCCCGATGAAACAATGGATTATGAAGAGAATTAGGAAATGATGGAGAGAAGAGGATCAGCTGAAACTCTCGTCACTTGATGGTGGAGTGTTACAGCCATAATAACACACATGTGTGTGTATACTTGATAAAACAATGCAATTAAACTTGTAATTCATACATTAGGAATATATTTATGTTCATGGCTGAAATGTGCAAAAATGAAGTTCACCTGAAGTTGAGATCAAACATCTGTGACATTTTATGAGGTGTATTGTATTATTTTTTAAAACTTATTGAATTATTTTATTTTGCTATTAAAAATAATTGTCTGATGAGTTTGTTAGAATATTATGACTGTTTGATGGAGACGATTTCCTTAACTTTTAATAAACTGTTTTTCCAGTCTTGCCTTCAGCTTTAAACTTGAGGTTACCCTTTTTTCTTTGGCAGCCATCTTGATCCCTTCTTGGATTTTTCTTTTTGTCTGGTGTGCACATGTGTCTGTGGGATAACAGACTCCTTTGCTACCTCATTCATTTATACAATTTTTTTTATTAAAATAAACACTATTTTTTGTCACACAAAATCTGTTACCCCATTAGTGTTCAATACAAACATGTATTTTTTCTGTAATCATTCATAATGAAAATAATTTTTTTTCTTAATGTGTGACTTTACCATAGGACTTTACCCCCTTTCTTACTCAATCCCTCTAGTGGTCAAATTATGTATAATGTTATAGTTTCATCATAATGCTAGCATTTATGGTGTGTGAAAAAGTAATTTATTGACACTGCACACGTTTATTAATAGGTTTTATTATAATAATGTAAGGGTTTGTTTATCATCAATTGTGTAAATGTGTATACACTGACCGGTCAAGAAAGAAAGAAGTCGCTGATTTACAGTAAATGGGCAAATACAATGAAACACAATAAAATATGTAAATAAATAATATTGACAATAAAGTCACATGTAAGCTATGGATTGTTTAGTTGAGTTTCTGGATGCAATGCTATTCGTGAACCACTAAAATAAACTATTACAGAAAACACAATTTCATACATTACAATAATACACGAGAATATAAAAAGTATGAAAATAAAGTTAAAACATCCTGGCAGAAAATTAATGTGAACTATGAGGTGAGTCAAGGCCAGAGAGCTCTAACATTTATTCCAGAAGATGGTATTTGATCATCGTTTTTTGAGGACATTTTCATACACAGCCTCCTTTGATTTCTGAAAGGCAAAATGCAGTCATTTAAAACATTTAAATATCTGAACGGTTTCTGTAAAATATCTTTGACCAGTCATTGGTTTAAGATTTGAAAATTATAATTTAATCTATTTTTTAATGATCGCTGTCGTCTATGTAATGTATAGGCCTAATCTATAATTTTATCTGGAGGATAGTCTATATTTTCTAGTGTTTCTTTCGCGAATCTACGGTAACTGTTCAAGCCACATGCTCTGGCCACTGGGTGATGGAACGGCGTTCTAATGCGCATGCGCGGCTTTCCTTCTCCTTGACGTTCTACTTGTTGCATGGTGACGGTCTGGAAGATATCAGATTCAATGATAATCACAGTGCTTTTGCCCTTTCAGGTAATTAAATCACAATAATACCAACATATCATGTAACCTTAGTAAGAAAGAACGTATAGTCTATAAGTCTATTTTTTATAACTTACGAAACTGCAGCCGACCTTTCACTGCTGGAGAAAAAAGTAACGTTACTGTTGCAAATCCGCATATCACGTAAACTCTGTGATTAAGTTATTTAATTTCCTTTTGTGTTTCCCGTAAGAAAGAACTTGAAGAAAGTTTCTTTTTCATCGCGAGTTATAACGGCACTTCCGTGTTCAGGAAGAAAGTGGTGCTCGTTCTTCTTTATTTGCTCTCTTATTTACCACACAGTTTTCCAAACTTGGACATACCCGAAAGTGCGCAAGAATAACAGGGTGAGTTGACGTTTGACCCGGTGTTCACACATAATTTTGTCTAATTTTTTGTTTGAACTAACCCTTTAAAACTCACAATCTTGAACCAGACTGACTGCAACTATTTGCAACAGACATAAATTATCTTACCATTTTTTTCCTTTTTTGTTTACAGGATGCTGACTTATTTCTGTCTTCTTCCCGGGTATGAACTGAATAAACAATGACACACAGTTTAAAAGAACAGTGCTTTTTAATCTTAAATTGAAAATGTTACCTTAAAAAAGATATATATTTATGCGTTAATTGCTTGCTCTACTGACACGTTTTTCTACGTTTCCTGCAGATGCAGCAGATCACGACTGCAACAACAATCAACAGAGATCCGGCAGCAGCAGAACAGATCAACACTATCAGAGACACGGACACTGGAGGAGGAGAAGGAGACTGTGCTGTGATGTCTAAAGAGAGACATTAATGTGAGTGAACGCATCAGTCTGATCTACAACAGAAGACAGAGATCAGGTCAGTAAACACACACACACACACTATCTGATGAGTGGTGGTGTACCTGCACATGTGTGTCTGCAGAGTGTGTTGATGTCCAGATGTGTGGTCTGGTTGCTGATGGGATTGTTCAGCACACAGCTGTAGGTGTTTTTATCCTGATATTCCACCTCCAGAGGTAGAGAGAGACTGATGCTGAGATCACACACACTGATGCTGGACAATACACTCATTCCTGCGTACCAGGACAGAGTCGCATCACACACACTCAACACTGATGATGAACACACCAATGAACAATTTGATGCTGACGAACAGTTTGAAGAGTTTCTGCGGATGACAGGAACAGGCAGACGAGCTGCAAAACATGAGAAACCACAAAAATGATTTGCATTTTTGCCCCTACTCATCAAGTATCTTGGATGAATTTGTAATTTAAGGAGAGAGTTCAGGAAGCCCAAGGAAATCAACAAAACCTCATTTTCATTTTGAGCAGTTGTAATGGCTTTTAGTTCACCAGCAAAGGCTAAAAGTTCTGCTAATATCTCAAAATGAATAACTACTAACTGCCTTAATGCAGGGTTTTTATTCAAAACCTTCAATAGGTGCTGTTTCACTGTCAGGCCCCTCCCGTTTAAACCGCCCGCTCTAAGTGGGACTCAAACCCGGTCCTGTCCGCATGGGAGGCAGCCGCTCTAACAATGATGCTGAAGTTCGCAGTCTCTAGAGTGCCTCTTGAGATGAGGGTAGTGAGGATTTTCTTAACCCACTGCCTAGTGCTGCTAATCGTTCGACAGACTGTTCCAAGATACTATAAGTGTTTAAGATACTCCTTCGCTTCAGTGTGTTGAACAATCAGTAAGGATGTGTTGTTGGATTCCTTTTCACCTATATTAGTCCGGAGACACACTGGCTGCGTGGCGTGAGCGTGGCGTTTCTGTTGCATGGCGGCTGCATCGTGTTTTCTGTGTCTTTGCACACCAGAAACATGTCTGACACGGCGCCGCTGCTGCTAGGTGACATAGAGCAGTGGTTCCCAACCTTTTTTTGTCTGTGACCCCCTTTTTCCCAAGAAAATATTTTAGGGCCCCCCTTCACATTTAATGATAATATTATTATCGCTCTTGTAAGCTTGCAGCAAGGATAACAAAATGTGTGTTTTTTATTTAAAAAAACGGTATGTTTATGCACAAATAAAAGCCTATAATATTGAAAATACAATGACTAAAACATCAGTAGGCCCTTTGTAATTTAACAACGTAAGCATAGGAGAAGCCTATTAATTGGCCATATTTGAAATGCAAAAATAAAAATATTCACACTGGTGTTTAGGTAAAAAAAAAAAAGAATATCTGCTATTAAATGACTGTTGTCTGGGGCCTCAATACTTGCATGTTATCTGTGAGGCTTTATCAACGTGAGGCTTTATTTTTACACTTTTGGCGCAATAGCGAGCGATAATAAACTTGCATTTATTAACCCTTGTGCTGCATTAGATTTTTAACACTGTTGAGTGCATTAAGGACCAAAAATGGCCACATATTAAACATTGCCTAAAATATTATATATTATTATTATTTTCCACTTTTACCAAGTTGAATCTTTTAACCAGCATCAGTCCTGATCAGAACTACCAAAAATGTATTCAATTTCAGGATTTAAACCCTTTAATTACCAGTTTTGTTTGCGAAACCATCGATTTGTATAAGAGGAAAAAACACAAAAATTCAATTATTTTCAATAAACTAAATGCAAAGAGAAAACTTTAGATTTGGATTATCACAGTCCCACTTTGCAAAAAATCCCACTTAGCGCGTTAGAGACCAAAAATGGCCACCTATTAAACATTGCCTATTGCCTAAAATAAGGTGCATTTCCACCCATAGGGAATAAATATGTAGTGACGTCATCTGGTGGAATACACTATAGAATGCAAATATAATGCTTTTGCTTCAAAATGAAAGGATGTTTGTGCAAAAATCATGTTTCATGTATTACTGACAGCCTCAGATTTAAACAACGTTTTAATGGGTTTCAATGGGCCATTTTTGGTCTTTATGGTGCTGAGTGTTACTATTTGATCTACACAGTGTGTGTTATACATATTTTGCAAAATGGGATCACATTTTTTACATGTATCCAAAAAGTCACAATTTTGCCAAATTTCATACCATTTGCATTAAAACAGCCAAAATGGTCAAAGAAATTAAACTGCAAAAGACCAAAAATGTCCCAAATGCAGCATAAGGGTTAACAGAATAATGCGTCTTTCGGAAAGAACAGTGTAGCCGGAACTACTTCTCTCTGTGTACGTCTATGTCGAGTCACGCAGGTACTGTAGTACTCCGCAGCGGCAGCGATCCGAACCAGTGTAAAATAGTCCCAATGTAAACACTTATTATAGGTGTACCATAGTGGTTCAGGATAAGACAAAAACACGGATTGGAAAATGGATTCATGATGAACTCACTCATTATATACATTTTGTAAATTTTGAACAGAAAAAAGTTAAGGACTTTTATTTAATGCTCATTGCTCAAACTTTCAAAATATGCCGCGACCCCCCACAGAGCTCGCCGAGGCCCCCTTGTGGGCCGCGACCCCCCTGTTGGGAACCAATGACATAGAGGGATTCTAAATTTGGATTAGCGGTGTGTTGCTCTTGCAAATATGGAAGTGGGCCGTCTGTTTATTTCAATAACATTTACAAATTTTGTGTAGCTTTAAAGAGTATATATTTAGGATTGTCTCTCAGAAGACACGCTATGTTGTTATTATATCCTCCTGATGCCCAGAACGTTTTTTTTTTTTTTTAAGTTTTTTTCTTCATGTAATCACATTGTTAAGAGCATAAGAAAAAAATGAAAAAAAATAAATAAATAATAAATGATATTTTATTCATATGTTATGCTATGACCTCTGTAGTGGACACCAAGACTCGATTGTTTAAAAAAATACAAATGACATGAAATGATATATAGGCAAAAATAATGGCAATATTTGAAAATCGATGAAAATCATTTTTCCCCCCGGCGTTAACCTAGTAAAAGCGTTTTAAGACACGCACTAAGTGCACTGTGCCCTTAGACCTATGGATGTGTTGAGTGTGGATGTGTGTGTAGATTGTGATAGTTCAACCACTTCTGAAGAAGCCCTCATTAGATCCTGACCTTTTGTTTAAAAAATGATAGATAAAGCAGTAGCTAAGCTGTATAGTAGCTAAGTAGCTTAAACTGTTGGAGGTTATGAGTGAAAACAATATTCTGAGAAATTTCAGTCAGGCTTCAGAGAAAACCATGGCACAGAAACAGCCATTTTAAGAGTGACAAATGATTTACTGATGGTAGACAATGCTGGAGAGTGATATAAAAAATAGATCTGACAGTAGATTTTGATATAGTTGGTCATTCAATCTTCATTGATACATTAAATAGATAGTTAGTTATATTTATGAATGTGCTCCAATTATCGCCAAACTTGGATGTCCTCCAAGCATCAGTAGATATAAGTAAGTAACTGAATGGCTTGTAATTATCTGCAATAAATACTGAAAAAACTGAAGTCATGATTATCGTTCAGGGCTTTAATAAAAGTCAGATTGAGTCCGCTCTTAATAAAGTGTTTCCCAATATTCAGCAGAAATGTACGTGTTTATTTGGACACCAATTTTAATTTTGAATATCACATTAAGAATAAGGTTGAGTCGTGCTTTTATCAGTTAGTTAATATTTCCAAAGGGAGCGTTTTAAAGATACAGATAATCTTGTCTGGATTATTGCAACACCCAGTTTAATAGCAAATGCTGCTGCCAGATTACTGACACAAACTAGATCATTTTGTTCTAATTTTAGCTTCACTTCTTTGTTTACCAATTCATTGTAGGATTGTTTTTAAGTTATTACTATTGACATATGCTTACAATAAAAAGTCAATGGGGTCCATCTGTAAATGTTCAAAAACGGTCACGACAAAGTACGTAAGCAATGAGTGTGAAGTTAACATGAGCTTAGAGAAAAAAAAAAATCACTAAATAATTGTATCTAATTGTTTAACTTTATTTCATTATTATATTAATGTAACTTCTTAAACCCTTTAACGTACTTTATTATTGTAACGAAGCCGTCCAAAAAGTGCTTCACCCTAACATTGAGTCTTGCTTAAAAAAAACTAAGGAAATATTTTATATGCTAATATTTTTGTTAATCAACATTACACCACAAATGCGGTTGATTGAACATAATTTGTACTGAATATTCCTTAAAAAAAAACAAGAATACTTGATGGAAAGGACAGATGATCTCTACTCACCATAGACCGAAACACTGAATCTTTTTGATGTCCTTTTCTGTCCATTTATCTCTAATTGATAAACTCCAGCGTGTTCAGTTGTGGTGTGTGTGATGGTCAGAGATCCAGTTTGATCGTCCAGCTTCAGTCTGTCTCTGAATTTCCCATCAGGAACATCAAATGTGGAGAAGATTTGATTTTCTTTCTTCATTTTAGCAATCAGATCCTTTTCAGCTCCATATGTCCACATTATGTAGGCATCTTGAGGTATTTCAGTATTGTCAGTGTGTAGAGTAACAGAATCTCCCTCCATCACTGACACTGAATCACCAAACACACCTGATGAACACACAGATTTACACAGATTAACGCTCCTGATGGTTTACAAATCCTGAAATCAGCTGTAGTTTGTAACTAACTTACTAAAGCAAGGTGAGATATATGAACATTACATTAATGGTGTAATTACAGCATGGAAAGTTGATTGTTTCTGGATATTAACATTTAAAACCCACGAAAAAGTGGCATATTGGACGAGTCTCCATTGGCTGAAGTTACATTCACTGTAACAATCTACCTTATTTTTTTATTATGACTTTTTAATTATCCGAAGAATGTAAAAAATGTAAAACTTACCTGTCAGACGGCACCAGCACAAACAGAACAAAGCAAGCGTGTGAAACATTCTTGCATTGTGACACTAGCAGCTCATCTTAGTCAAACTGAAACCTGCAAAATGTGGTTTGGTCAGCTAATAGGTGGGCATTCATTCACAGAAGAAGTGAATATGGTGTACATCTTCCTATATTCCATGCTGAATTAGAGTTTTTACATGTGGGATTTAAATGGTTTTTATAATTCTACTTAATTCTACTCAATCCAA